ATACTTTGTGTCTGTTCAGACCCTGTGGTGGGCAGAGGAATGGCCTCCTGAAATGTCCACGTCCTAATCCCAGGAGCTGTGACTCTGTTAGGCTATGGGGCGAGAGGGTCGGTTGCAGATGGAGTTCGGGTGGCTGAGGTGCTGACGTCATGATACAGAGATTACCCCGGGTTTCCGGGGGAGGCCACCTGCCGGTGCTGGCCTTGAGGCTAGAATGGGGGCCCTGGGTGGGCCCAGGAACGTGGGCCATAGGGAGATGGGGTCTCCCCTAGCTACACAGCTCTGCTGGCAGTTTGAGCTCAGCCCAGCGAGATCCGTCTCAGGCTTCTAGCCTACATATCCGTTAGATAATTTCTGTTGTTTTCAGCCGCCAAGTGTACAGTAGTAAAATGTTCCATCAGCAATAGATAGGAAGCTACCATACACGTGTTTCTATAGCAGAGATTCCCCAAACAAGTAGGAAAACAAAACTCCTTATTGATCCTCCTCGGCAGTGAAAATAGGCCGCCAGCTCTGTCCAGTGACCATCAGGAAGGCGGAGCAGTAAGCGTCTCTCCCGGACCTTCTTCCTTCACTTTGCCGGAGCCGACATTCACTGAGCAGAACTGGTGTTGCTGGTTGGGACCCCGTGTGCCCCAGGGCTCTGGGTTACTCTTTCTGTCTCAACTGACATCTGATATATATCCACACACACATATTTACAGCATATGTTTGTTTATATGTATAATATATTTCCTATATGTTTATATATCATATATTTACCATATGTTTATTTATATGTATATATCATATATAAAGTGTTTGTGTGTGTGTGTGTGTGTGTATTTGTAGTGCATTGTGGGAAATGATGCCACGGTGCCACTGGACATGCGGTGGAAAGTGGAGTGAGACTTACCTGTTGCACGAGCTGGGGAAGGCATCACAGAGTGAGTGAGCCCGACCCGGGTCCCGGAAGATGTGTAGAAGGTTTTCATGTCAAGAGAAGCTTTCGAGGGAATCATACTCACCGGAGTATCGGGCAGTGAAAAGAGTCAAGTGCGGCTGCTATAGAAGCAAGAGGGTGGCAGGAGGTGGTTGATGAGCTGGGTGGGGGCCCCTTTGGATCTGCTCCCTATAATGTGCAAAGGAGTTTGGACCTTGGGCCAAAATAGAGGCCCTCGATATCTTTTAAAATGAGGTAATTACATGCAAAATGGCTCTTGGAGACCAGGAGGACGCTCCAGGCTCCTGTGGACTCCCCTGGCCTGCAGTCTCTCTCCCTGAGGGCTAACTTCACACAGACAACAACACAGCAGGAAAAATGAAGCTGCTTATGCACTGCTGCTGATTCAAAAATATTTTGACAATAAGTGAATGGATTCTCAAATGCTTATTGTAACCCATTTGAAGGGAAAGTTTAGAGCCCTGAGTTTTAGTAGCGTTGATTAGGTAAGCTGGTGACCCCAACCATTTGTTCACCCTTCAAATTGCATCTGTTTGGGAATGGCTTTGTATATGATGATATGGCGCTTTTTGGCCTGTGAAATTCAAGTATGCTACGTGTCACTTTAATATCAGGTCATCCATTGCCAAGAAAATGACATTAAAAACATGATGTGGGTTGTCAAAATGTTGTAGAAAAACCGCAAAGGAATGCACATTTAGCTCAATTGGGTTGTGATCTTCTGAATGTAAATGGTCTCATGCCGAATTGCCTAACGATATGTAAATTGTATGCAAGACTTTTCTGCCAAAGATCTGAGGAACCCCGGAAACTTGAGAAGAGTGGATCGGAAGCCGTGCCAGGCACTTCTGCAGACCTCTTCAGAGTCTATCTGGCGGAGTTCTGTGGTTTTGAACCTAGTGGTAAAGTTTTTATTGCGACATTGGATAACACAGCTCTATTTTGAGTGTTTAATGAATAGTTAGTGGAAAATATTTAGTAACTACAAACGAAAGAAAGCAATTTCCTTTTGGGGGAATTGCATCTTGGTCTGACTGCTTAGTCATCTTATCTTTTAAAACAATCTGCCTTTTCGGTTTCTCGGTGGTGGTTCGTGATGATAACAGCTCTCGTTGTGTGGTGCTTCTGACAGAGCACTCTTGCCTTCTCGCTTGATCCTCACAACTCTCTTCTGCACTCTGCCTTTTGTAGGTGATATGTTGGTTGCCTCCTGCACGGGCCCGCCCCAACCAGGGCCCGGGCCAGGGAGGAACCTGCAGCCGAGGTACGTGCCCTTGACCGGAATCGAACCCGGGACCCTTCATTCCACAGGCCGACACTCTATCCACTGAGCCAAACCGGCCAGGGTAAAATATAGAGGCTTTTTTTTTTTAAAAATATATTTTATTGATTTTTTACAGAGAGGAAGGGAGAGGGATAGAGAGCCAGAAACATCAATGAGAGAGAAACATTGATCAGCTGCCTCCTGCACGCCCCCCACTGGGGATGTGCCCGCAACCAAGGTACATGCCCTTGACCGGAATCGAACCCGGGACCCTTGAGTCCGCACTCGGAAGCTCTATCCACTGAGCCAAACCGGTTCTGGCGAGGCTTTTAATAATGGGAGATATCTAGTTATGTCATACGTACATACGTACGGTAGTTTCTCTGCTAGTAAGGTGGCAGTACAACTTAGCTTACCCTGTTCTTGGGCCAGGAGAGAGCAGATATCTGGTAGCTAGTATTTCAACCACAATAGTAGTAGACATTTTTTTGAAAATTATGCTACGTAGTATTTACTATACTTACCTTGTGTTTATATAGCACGGCCCCAATAGGTCATGACAGGGAGGGTGAATATATCTCCAGCAAGTTGATAGTAAATTTAAAAAAACATTAGGCCTCCAATCAGTCTATTATTATCGCATAATCCGTCACAGGACTTGTTTCCAGGCTCTATGAAGACATTTTACAACCAAGTAATAAGACAAACAACTCAATTAAAAGAGAGGCAAAAGATTTCACAACACCGCACAAAAGATGATACACGCATTCCAATCGTCGTGTTCAAGCACGCTCAGCATCGCGGTTCACCAGGGAAATGCAAATGCAAATCCAGGTCAATATAAGGTGCCACCACACACCCAACAGAGCGGCTAAAACCAAAAAGGCTGACAGCTGACGTCTTGGGGAGCCTGGGGAACGTCATCCGTTGTTGTGGGAACGGACAGTGTACAGCCCGTTTGGAATATAGCTCAGCACCTCTTCATTATGTTAGCTACGATTTAGCACGTGGCCAGCAGTTTCACTTCTAGAGATCTACCCGTGACAAACGACAACACGCGTCCATAAAAAAATAGACTCACAAATGTTTAAAGCGGCTTGACTCGTAATAGCCCCAAAATGAAAACAGCCCATATGTCTGTCAACAGATGAGCGGATAAACAAATGGTGGAATCCAAGGCCATACTGCGTGGCAGTACAAAAGAACTACATGCTTATGCGCCCAGCAATATGGATGGGGCTCGCTTATGCCCAGCGAAAGAAGACAGACCCAAAAGGCAATGTGTTGTATGAGTTCAACGATATAAAATTCTCGAGCTGGAGCGAGTCACCCGGATTAACAGAAAGGGGATCGGTAGTTGCCTGGATCCTAGACTCCGGGGAGAATTGATTGCAAAGAGGCACCTTTTGGGGTAACAGAAATAGTTGATATCTTGGTTAGGATAGTAGTTATATGTGAAAACTCATTGAATGGGGCAATTACACAGACATTTAATTATATGTCGATTATACCTCAATTAGTTTGTTTTATAAAGTAAAAAAAAAATTACATAGAAAAGCAACGCCAAATTGCTCCCCATCAATGGATGCTAGAGATTCCATTTCTACACTTTCTATTTGGATACTTTTGGGGTTCACTTCTTGAATAATCCCTCCTTCCCTGATCTTTCTGCCTTGCTGCTTCTGTTATATATCCGAATTCCATGTGTGTGTGGCCAGTTTATGTGATCTCTGGTCCGTTTCACTGTTTATCCTGTCTTAATTCTTCCAGCCTCATTCGCAGCTCCACTGTCGTCATTTGCTCTCGTCAGCAAATGTTTAGGCTGTTCCTGAGCCCGTGTTGTTTCCTAGACATTCTGCCAAGAGCTCCTCTGTTTCTGTGCTCCGAGCAAAACCCCGCTGGAATATTGACGGGGGGCTGTATTGATTTTATTGATCAACTTGGGTAGACTTTGGATTTTTGCAATATTAAATTCTTTGGTTTATAACTGCGGTCTATCTTTTTATTTGTTAAGATCTTCATGAATGTCTCCCAGTGCAGTTTGTAATTTTCCCTGTAAAGTTTCTGAACATATTTTGTATTTATTTCAAGACATTTGATTTTTTTTTATTTCATCGTAAGTGAAATCTTTCTCCTAATTATGTTTTCTTGCAGTTTTTATTGTTGATGTGCAGAAATATGATTTTTCAAAAAAAATGAATCATATATACAGGTAACTTTAGAATTTGTTTTAAAAAGAAGTCCATTGAACCCAGCCAGCATGGCTCAGGGGTTGAGCATTGACCTATGAACCAGGAGGTCATGGTTCCATTCCCGCTCAGGGCACATGCCTGCAGGGATCGTGCAGGAGGCAGCCAGTCAATGATTCTCTCTTATCATTGATGTTGCTCTCTCTCCGTCTCCCTTCCTCCCTGAAATAAAAAATATATATTTTTGGGAAAAAAGAAGAAGCCCATTGATGGATGAGCAGAATTTGTCATGTGTGCGCACGCATATTTTGCAAAGCGGTGGTGTTAAGGACACACTTTCCCCAAGTCCTTAAATTACTTTTTGGAGGCGAGTCTCTGCATGTGAGGTTGGCCCTGGGTCGCAGGAGAGGGGAATGGCTGGAGCTGGGGTGCTCCCAGCTTTACGTCGAGCCCCATTCGTGCGGTCACGGACGCCAGTGAGAGGGGTCTCTGGCCAGGCCAGCATCCTTGGGTTATAACAGACATCCACGGATCTCCCGCTGTCGCGATGCTTATGCCTGGCGCAGGCTGTCATCGCTAAAAACGTGTCGCTCTTCTCTTTCAGTATCCGGAGCGTGATGCAGAAGTATCTTGAGGAGAGAAATGAAATCACCTTCGACAAGATTTTCAATCAGAAAATTGGTAAGTCCCGCTGACGCATTGAGCATCTGCGCCTTCACTCTCGATGTCGCTGTCACCACAGTGATGTCTGCGTGCAGGCCCAACGCTCCGTGTGCTTTTACACTTCAGGCCGGGAGGGGAGAGTTCGTGTAATTAACCAGGTACTTAGTGATGACTTACATTCTGAGGCACCTGTCCTGTGAATAAGCCCGTGGGAAACAGAGGAGTTTGACTCGAGGTCTTAAGGGCGCGTGGGAGGCGGCCAGCATCGGGCACTTGGAACCAGAAATAAGCTCCCTCTGTTGGGACCCACTTCTGAGGCCCCAGCTGCTCTCAGGTTGTACTTTCCAGGATCCCAGGGAGCTGGCCTGTGTCTTCCCAGACATCACCCCACTCTCGGGGTTGGCTGTATCTGCCCAAAGTGTGGGGCTGGAGAACTTGATCTTGGCGGTTGTCATGGGTTGTATGGGTTCTGTACGCCATTCATTCTGGTCAGTTCCACATCAGAGTCTGTACCCTGCAGGTCACCAGGCCTCCCCCGGTCGTATCCACAGAGGCCCCGGCTCTGGCTAACGCTGGTCCTGGCCCCTGCGGACGTGTGGTTGTGTGGGGGTGCTCTGCGGCTGCCACCGCTAGTCCCTGCAGAAGTGAGGACTGACCAGCCGTTGCTTTAACGTGGAGCTTCGAGACCCATGAGGAAGGGAGGTGTTCTCCCTGGCTTTCTGAGGCTGGCGGTGCATTTAGGGGGGACTGTCGGCCGGTGCAGGGAAGAGCTGTCGTCTGCATGCTTCCCCCCGCCCCCCATCAGTTCCTGCTGTCCAGAAATTTCCAGAATAACATCTTATTCTCAGCTAGGATGGACTCCTCATTGGGCCTGCCAGCCGGCTGTATTGTTAATCTGCCCATAGCGAGGTGGTAGACAGACGATTCTAGGGTGGTCACGTGACGTCCACAGAGCAGAGTCTGAGCGAATAGCGTGTTCCTTTCCTTCCTTTGCACCTTGCCAGTCCCCCAGAGTTATTCAGGTCAGATTCGCCGAGGAACTGGGTCTTGGTTTGCAAATTATTTTACTATGAAAGGAAGTGACATTATTGAACTTTCAAGAAATGAAGGTCTTATTACAGTTCCCTGGAACTCTAATTCTGCGTTCAGTTCTGTTTCCGTGATTCATAAGTGCAGACTGACCCCTTAAATATATGTTTTTATTCATACAAATGTATATTTTTGGTAATATTTTTAATTTAAAAAATATATATATTCAGATGTGTTATATGTAATGTAAAACTCACCTATTATATACAGCTCAGTAGTTTTTTTTAGTGTATTCGCAGTGTTGTGTAGTCATTACCACACTTATTATTATTATTTTTATTGTTTTCAGAGAGAGGAAGCGAGAGGGAGAGAAAGATAGAAACATCAATGATGAGAGAATATCATCGATTGGCTGCCTCCTGCACACCCCACATTGGGGATCAAGCCTGAAACCCAGGCATGTGGCCTGACCAGGAATCAAATTGTGACCTCCTGGTTCATGGGTCAATGCTCAACCACAGAGCCACCCGACCGGGCACCACACTTATTTTAGAACATCTTCAAACCTTCCCCCCAAAGAAACTCCATATCCCGTTAGCAGTCACTCCCCATTCTTCCCCTCCCCCAACCCCTGGGTACCAGTAATCCAGCTTCTGCCTCTGGATTTGCCTGTTGGACACTCCGAATAAATGGAATCCCATAGCATGCGGCCTTTTTTAAAAAATTTTAATCATCACCCGAGGATAGTTTTCCATTGATGTTTAGAGAGTGGAAGACAGAGAGAAACATCGATGTGAGAGAAACACATCGATTGGTTGTCTCCTGCGCAAGCCCCAGCCGGGTCCCAGGCCGGGGAGGAGCCTGCAACCGAGGTACGTGCCCTTGGCTGGAATCGAACCCGGGACCCTTCGGTCCGCAGGCCGACGCTCTATCCACTGAGCCAAACCGGCCAGGGCAGCATGAGGCCTTTGCATTGAGCTCTCAGCATAGTATTTGGAAGGTTCACACATGGTGTATGTAGCACGTGTCAGGACCTCGTCCTTTGTATGCCCAGGGGTCTTCCATTGCGTGGCTGCGCCACACTGTGCTTGTCCGTTCATTCACCCATGCGCGGGTGGAGGTCTGGGTTGGTTCCCCTTCCTGGCTACTGCGCACCATGCTGCCGTGAGAGGAAGCCACGTCTTAACACGTCGTTGGCGTGAATGGCTCCCTGTGACAAACACGTGCTGGTAGATGGACCCACCTGCCCCCCTTGCGGCTCTCACTCCAGTTTCTGAAAGGCCTGGAGGGTTCTTTCTCCCTTTGTGTTCTCTGCTCCTCACTTTCCCTCCTGTGCCCCCTTTCCTGTCTGCCCTCCCCCCTACACACATGCAACCCCCAGACATGTCCTTCCCACTGTTTCGACCAACACCTTCCCTGACATAGGCTCCGGGAGCCTTTGATCTGAGCACCTGAGGCATTACCCTGGCCTTGAACCTTAGCTTCGGCCACACCCTCTCTTCCCCAGGAGCCCCTTTGCTGGACACGGATGGTCTGTGAATTGCCTCTCAAGTTATGCTGTTAAAAAACTGTCTGAGTGAGTCATTCCGGATTGAAATGAAAGATCATAAATAAGTCCCTTATACTGACTATACATGCAGGGTTTAGTTAGGTAGCTTTAGTGGCAGAGAAAGGAGCAGCCAAGACTGGGCCAAGAATCAATACTTTTAAAAAGCAGGAAGGCAACAAAAAAAAGCAGGAAG